GATCATTTGAGGGAGTACTCTTGCGATGTTTAGGGGAAGATGAAACACTCCAAGTTTTACAAGAAGAGCGTTCTGGGGTATGTGGGTCACACCAGTCTAGACCAAAGCTCCACTTTCATATAAAAATGATGGGATATTATTGGCCAACGATGGTAAAAGATTACTTGGACTACGCTCAAAGATGCAAAGGCTTGCCAATTCCATGTGAATTTTATTCATCAGCCTCCTGAAGTGTTGCACCCGACTATTGCATTCTGGTCATTTGACACTTGGGGATTGGATGTTGTTGACCACTGCCAAAGTCCTCTGGTGGGCACCTATATATCTTGGCTGCAACTGACTACTTCTCAAAATGGGTTAAAGCTATGGCCCTAAGGAAGTAAAGAAGGAAAATGTTGCAAGTTTCATTCGAGTAAACATAATCTATCGCTTTGGCATTCATCGTTACATAATAACGAATAATGGCAAGCCATTTGCCAATAGGTTGATGGATAAGATTTGTGATCTCTTTGGCTTCAAGCAACGCAACTCTTCTATGTACAATGCTGCCGCTAATGGTCTAGCTGAGACATTCAACAAGACTCTATTCAACTTATTAAAGAAAGTTGTCTCCAAATCCACGCCAACTTACCGCACGCCAACACAAATGACCCCTTAAGCACCCATTTATGGAGTCGAAGTCGTCTTACCACTCGAGCGTCAAATACCTTCATTACAATTAGCTATTCAAGAAGGGATCACTGATGAAGAAAATGCTCGACTTCGATTAGCAGAGTTGGATGCTCTTGATGAGAAGAGGTTGGAAGATCAACAGAGTCTTGAATTTTATCAAGCTTGATTGTCTCGCACCTTCAATAAAAGAGTTCGCCCGAGATCCTTTCGAGTAGAAGATCAAGTCCTTGTCGTACGAAGACCCATTATTACTTCCCATAAACCTGTAGGAAAGTTCACTTCAAAATGGGATGAGCCATATGTCGTGCAAGAAACTTACTCAAGTTGGGCTTACAAGCTGATTGATGCAGATGGCATGAGAATCAGCCTTATCAATGGCACGTTTTTGAAGAAGTATTACCCTTGAAGTTGCAACGCTCCTTAACGCACGAGCCTAAACTGCTTGCTCCTACACTCCTGGCCCGCATAAGTCTAAACTGTATACGACCCACCACCAAAATAAAAAAAGTCTGCTAGGTTGAAAACCTCGAAAGAGGCGGCCTAGGCAAAAGTTAGGACATAAAAAAACCGCTAGGTTGAAAACCTCGAAAGAGGCGGCCTAGGCAAAAGTTAGGACATAAAAAAACCGCTAGGTTGAAAACCTCGAAAGAGACGTCCTTGGCAAAAGTTAGGACATAAAATATAAAACAAATCACTCATTTTGAACTACGGTATGACTTGATCCTCTTCACTGAGGTACGTAGGCAGCTTAGAGTTTTATTCTAAGTTCAGTTGCATAAGTTCAAAAGATACACAATTCCCCAATCATTGTCCGAACGAAGTACGATGAAATTTAATCCATTCAATTAGCATTTGAAAATCGAGCTGAGATATAATTCTTCTGTTAAACTTTGGATCCCATTTGATTTAAAAGAGGCAAGCCACTATGGTAAATTGGTGTCTTTTATAAAATGATTATAGTCTTTTTGGAGGCTACCAAGTATTTGCACTGAAGTTCAGGGATTCACTATGTCTTTATGTTCGCCAAATCTTTAAATCCGCCGATCTTCAAGTTGGTTTCTCTTTAAGTTAAAATAATTAAGTCCTCCAAGTTGAAGTCTCCAAATTGAAATATTCAAGTCCATCAGTCTTCAAGTTGAAGTCTTTATGTTCTCTGCTCTTCAAGTTTGCCGCTCTTCAGGTTGAAATATTTAAGCCCTCCAAGTCTCCAAGTTGAAGTCTTCAAGTCTGTCGGCTTCAAGTTGAAGTCTTCAAATTCGTCGGTCTTAAAGTTGAATTGTTTAAGCTCTCCAAATCTTCAAGTTAAAGTCTTCAAGTCTGCTCGTTTTTCAAGTTGAATTGTTAAAGTCCACTCTTCAAGTTGAAGTCTGCAAAGTCCGCCAAATCTTCAAAGCTTCCAAATGTTCAAGTCAATGTCGTCAAACCACGGAGTCTTTGAGTTGAAGCATTCTAATTTTTCAATCTTAAGGTAGACATTTAAGTCCCTTTGCACCTTAAGTTGGCCTCTTCGTGGGTTTGTCCTTAAAAGAACTATAATTTTCCAATTTTAAGGTGGACATTTAAGTCCCTTTGCACCTTAAGTTGGCCTCTTCGTGGGTTTGTCCTTAAAAGAACTATAATTTTCCAATTTTAAGGTGGACATTTAAGTCCCTTTGCACCTTACGTTGGCCTCTTCGTGGGTTTGTCCTTAAAATGTACTATAACTTTCCAATCTTAAGGTGGACATTTATGTCTCTTTGCACCTTAAGTTGGCATCTTTATGGATTTACCCTTCTATATGTTGCCATGGATTTATCCTCCATATGATGTTGAGGATTTCACCATCTATTTGTTGCCATGGACTTGTACTTCGATATGCCGTATGAACCTTTGCATCCTGAAATGGCCATCGGTTTTTGGGTGGGGATGAGTACCCATCCCTTTATACCCTGAGAGTAATCTCTCCGATAGTCGGGCTACCTTGAGAGTAATCTCTCTGATAGTCGGGTCACCTTGAGAGTAATCTTTCCGATAATCGGGCCACATTGAGAGTAATCTCTCCAATAGTCGGGCCACCTTGAGAGCAATCTCTCCGATAGTCGGGCCACCTTCAGAGTAATCTCTCCGATAGTTGGGCCACCTTGAGAGTAATCTATCCGATAGTCGGGTCACCTTGAGAGTAATCTCTCTAGTAGTCGGGCCTCATTGAGAGTAATCTCTCCGATAATTGGGCCACATTAAGAGTAATCTCTCCGATAGTCGGGTCACCTTGAGAGTAATCTCTTTGATAGTCGGGTCACCTTGAGAGTAATCTCTCCAATAGTCAGGCCACCTTGAGAGTAATCTCTCTAGTAGTTGGGCCACATTGAGAGTAATCTCTCCGATAATTGAACCACCATGAGAGTAATCTCTCCGATAGTCAGGTCACCTTGAAAGTAATCTCTCCAATAGCCATGCCACCTTGAGAGTAATCTCTCTAGTAGTCGGGTCACATTGAGAGTAATCTCTCCGATAGTTGGGCCACATTGAGAGTAATCTCTCCGATAGTCGGGTCACCATGAGAGTAATCTCTTCGATTATCGGGCTACATTGATAGTAATCTCTCCGATAGTCGGATCACCTTGAGAGTAATCTCTCCGATATTCGAGCCACCTTGAGAATAATCTTTCCAATAATCGAGCAAGGATGATTACCCATCCTCTCACACCCTAAGACTGTCTTCTTCATGGTCCAACTGTCTTCTTCATGGATGGACCATCTTGTTAAACAAGAACAAATCCTTCTCGTTCAACCTATAATAAAAAAGACAAAAAAAGCAGAAAAATTAAAGAAAACAAATTACCTTTGCGCAGGCTTCCTAAACGTTAGAAGTCGAAGTAAGATCGACTTTGAGAATGCCGCGGGTTTATGCTCAATAAACATGAGCAGACGACTTTATATAAGTACTGAAAGGTGACATTGAAGGTCCTTTTGTCGATATGGGATCAGTGCTAAGGCAGCAACTACAGTTTGTCTCCAATATGGATTAGGCGTGAGTGGCTGACTTCAACAAGGAATCAAATAGCTTCCTTGTTTAAACCACGTAAAGGCTGGAGGAAAAAGCAGTCGTCGACGCGTCCAACATTAATGTGGAAACTACTCACAAATCTTTTCATATTGAGTTGCTCAGTTCTTTGCAAATGAAAGCCTATATAAAGACCAGGTGTATATTAAAATAATAGTACACTTTTTGGTCTTTGGTCACTTGACCTTAATTACGTGGAACATTTGACTTAAAGTTTCCATGAATTATTTTGTCTTATATGAGCTTATCTCTGATTTTGCTATTTGCTCACATGAATTAGTTGATTTAAATTAAGGTCTTGGCATGGATTATACACCGGAAAAAAACGATTTAATTTGAAAAGCTTGAAAATTTATAGTTTTTTATCTCTATGACAAGCGATGTGCCAGTTGCTCAAACATTTAAGCACGGTACTTCAAGCCTTGTCTTTGATAACTTGGTATTTTAACAAACCTTGAAGTACGAGACATTTGTAGGCATATAAATTTAATGAGAATTAAATTCATAAAATAATTTGGACTATACTTTAAATTAAATATATTTTGGTCCAAATAAATATTATGGGGGTAATATAATTAGATCAATTGTATATGTCCAATTTATAAGGGTTAAATAAATAAGTGTTAATCCTTTGGGCTAGCCCATTTAACTTGGCTAAAGACAATGGGCCCACTTCATTGAGCTCAATATATCATCTTCCTAGAGGCCCAGTTTGGTGCCATGTCAAATGACATGGCACGCCAAATCAAACTGAAGAGCCAATAGGATCGTGCCACGTGTCAAAATGATACAACATGCCAAGCTAAATTAAAAGGCCAATGAAATTGCGCCACGTGTGCAAGTGGCATGTTCTGGTCAATAAAATGCGGTTTTATCACACTTCAATTTGACTGGTTAGAAAGAGTGTGTTCTTATCATAACTCTTCCCTTCCACAACTATAAATAAGGGTATTCATAACTCAGAAAAGATACCAGAAGTTATAACAAGAAGCAAGAAAGAGCTCGTGGATCAAACACTGCAAATTCCTCCATAAGTTTCAAGCTTCAAGCAATCAAGTTCAAGCTCAAGAACGAAGAACAAATCAAGTTCAAGCTGAAGAACGAAGAACAAATCAAGTTCAAGCTCAAGAACGAAGAACAAATCAAGATTCAAGGAATACGAGTTCAAATTAAAGTTTGTGCTAGTTGAATTCAAGATCATCGTTCGTGATAATAACTACATATTCAAGATCAAGCTCAAAGGCCCTTGGATATATTTACTATTGGAAAGAAGAATCAAAGGATTCATAGAGATTGTACACTCATATTATTTGAAATCAAATATTACGATTGTTGCAATATCTTTCGATCTGGATTATTTTCTCGATGCAAATTTATTATCTACATCGCCCTAATATATATAGAAAATATTTTCACGACTCAATCTACATGAGTGTCCTAGAAGTACTTCAATTCCATGTCTTTACTGTTTAATATTTCTTTGTTTCATAAGCATATTCATATGAGACTGTGACCTCATCAGGAATGATCTCCATGTTAACTGCAACAGGGGTATAATCTGTTGTTGTAGTTGTTGTTATTGTCATTGTTGAACACGGAGAAGAATGCCATGAAACACAAACAACACTAGGCCGAGACTCGGGCAATTTCATCAATGGCTCATCAGGATTCATGAACACTTGCACCACTTTTCTCATTTTAGGCCGGAGAATTCTGTCGGGGTGTAAACATGCTAATCCAGTGATCAAACACCTCATAGCTTCTGCATTATCAAAATTTCCTTCAAGTTTTTGGTCCATACATTCCAATAATGCACCTTTCTCATATGAACTCCATACACATTCCACCAAGCTATTTTCTTCCATGATCCCTTTTGATCGTCGTCCACAAACCACTTCTAAAACAACCATTCCAAAGCTATAGACATCAGATTCCGGGGTAACCCTTCCTGTGTAGCTAACTTCCGGGGCTAGGTATCCTGGAGTGCCAGCCACCATTGTTGTAACAAAGTTCTCATTTTGGAGTAATCTTGCTAGCCCAAAATCACCCAAATGAGCATTATACTCGGCGTCTAACATCACATTGTTTGGTTTAACATCTCGGTGTACTATAGGATTCCCACATTCTTCATGAAGATACACTAGTGCTGATGCCAATCCTGATAAAATCTTGAATCTGGTATCCCAATCAAGAAAGATTTTGCCAATGTATTTATCAAGACTTCCATTAGGCATGTATTCATAGACTAATAGGAGTTGCTCGCGATCATGGCACCAACCTTGTAACTGCACCAAGTTTTTGTGCCTTAGGCGCCCAATTGTACATATTTCAGCCAAATATTCCTTCTCACCTAGTATAACAACCATTACATTTTATAACTACTAGGTAAATGTTAAAATTTTAATAATAGTGTCTCACATCAGGGGAACTTAATGGAAAACAAACCTTGGTTAGATGTTGCGTTGATTCGTTTAACAGCTATAGTTGTAGGAGGATCAGAAAACACCCCTTTGTAAACACTTCCAAAGCCTCCAGTTCCCAATATTTTATCTTTGCTGAAGTTTTTAGTAGCATTGGAAAGTCTCCTATAAGTAAAAATCTGTGGAGCATTGGCTGCAGTTCTTGTTAGCATTTCGATGTCCTCTTTCCTCTGAAGTCTTTCTTTTCTATCCTTACGAGCTGAAATGAGAAACGATACAGCCACAGCTAACAAGACAACCACCACAGGAATAGCAACCAGTAGAGCTATCTTTTCCTTTTCTGGATCAAGGCCATACTTTAGAGATCTTTCTGGTAATTCATACAATGTGAAATTCCAGTTAAGAACTTGATGTAACTCTGAGAAATAAGCAGTGGAAGCTGAAAATCCAACATAAGCATTATGTGGAACTATTTCTTGCATGATGATTTCTTGGCTTAGAAAGTTCACTAAAGGTTGTCCTGCATATGCTACAGAAATTTCAAGAACTTTAGCCCATCCGTCATAGTCAATCTTGATTGTTATATTTCTTCCACTCCTTAGATCAATCCCAATATCATTTAAACTTTTAACTGCCACAGGACTCTCCATATTCGTAGTCACAATAGCAACATGGTTTCCATCAATTTCGCGTTCATTTCTATATGTATCAAACTCCACAGCCAGCTGATGAAGCGCGCACCCTGCATATTAAAAGAAGAAAGTCTGAGAGGTGATGGATCAAGAATTGAAAACAACCAACTTTAAGTCCAAGTTATATATACTAGGAGCTGACTTTGAGTTGATGGATCAAGAATTCCTATAAACGAGCCATAACTATGCGGTGGGGAAGGCTTATCGTCTTGTGCAATGAGGAATGCCATTCCATCACCAGAAATGGATTGATTTGTCAAAATCCTTATAGCGAAAATGGTGGAAAAAGAGGCAGGCCACATAGGTATGGACTGACTGAACAAGACTCTTCCAACTTTGTTGGAATTGTTCTGTGGCTGATCAGGTGTGAGGTTAAGAGTTTCATTAGCAGCAGTGACAGATCCCCAGCATGTTAAGTTTCTGCCATTGCTGCAACTTTCAACATCAAATGAAGGAAAAGAAAAGTTGTAGGATTCAACAAATAGAACTGAGAATTGATTAAGAAAGACTAGAAGCCTTAACATAGTTTCAAGATCTGTGTATACTCATAATTTAGAAGGAAGTCCAGCACCATATGTAAATATATATAGGTACAGGACTAAGATGCTGTTTTAGTTGATTAAGAGAATGTTCTTTCATTTTTTCTGTCTTGTTGAGGAAAGTGAAGACAAATTTCCATACAACAGTGTTTTAGTGAATTGGGAAAATAGAATTCTCTATTTTGTGTCTCTTCCTATCACATTGGGTCGTATTTTGTACCATCTCAAAGTGGAAACGAATAGATTCACGTTTTTGTCTTGCTAGCTTGAACACACAAGGAGGGATAAATATAAAATGTGATTCAAGATATTGCAAGACACAAAAGGTTAGTCTTACTGCTATTTCTTTAAAATAATTACCACATTTGATGAGATCATTACACGGGAAATTACCAGAAAGTTTCTTAACTTTCATTTTCATTTAAAATCGCGGCATCTTGGTGCAATCAGTACCATTGCCCCGTCACCTACAAGTACAAGATGTTTATACCAATTCAATTAATACATAATATATGTACAAACATGATTGTCACTAAATCATAGTTAATTAATATGCATTCTCATTTAATTTATCACATAATATGATAAATTAGCATGGTATGATGTAAACACCTAAAAGTATGGATAAGTTTTTACTACCTGCCTCCGGAGTTCTGCATTTTTCAGTGTCCTCCATCTTCAGAATGGTTTATAAGTTGTGTGTCCATCTTGCTCCAATAGGCTATTGCAATACCATTTCTTTCTAATTACTTGATCCCACGACACATCTTTGATTTTACAAGGTAATCAAATACTCTTTTCGAGGAAAACAAATACTCATGAAGTACGGTAAGTTTCGACTGAGAAAACCGTTTGAAAAATGTTTACTTTCTATCAGCAAGACGGGCATCAATAATAGAGTCTGAGGCGAATTCAAGATTTGTGTCACGACTCCAATTTTCCTCCGTAGGATGTCGTGATGGCACCTAATCTCTAAAACTAGATAAACCTAATAATTTACGGAATAACTGAATAATAAACTGAACTCCAATCTCAACACATGATATATAAATAGAAACTGCGATTTAGTAATTACAACTCCCAAAACCCAGTAGAAATAAGTCACAAGTTTCTAAAAGAAAATACTAAGTGTCTCTATACATCAAAGTCTAAGAAGAATAAGGGGAAACAACATAATAAGGATAGAGGGGGACTCCGAGGTCTGCGGACGCTGACAAATATACCTTGAAGTCTCCACGTACGGTCTAACTCACTGGTATCTAGTCTGGTAGGAAGAACCTCGATCTGCACAAAAAGATGTGCAGAAGTATAGTATGAGTAAACCACAACGGTACCCAGTAAGTGCCAAGCCTAACCTCGGTAGGGTAGTGACGAGGTTAGGTCAGGGCCCTACTGGTTTAACATATAATCAAGGCACAAGATATAATAATATTTTGAAATGACTGAGAATTTAACAACGAGAAGTTTCATAAAATAACAGCACATCAAATAGAGGTAAACAACAGGGGCGCTCCCTAGGTATCGCCGCGTAACCCAAACGTAAATGCTCAACAGGGGGATCTCCCGAGGTACCGCCTCATAGTCCCAAAAGTAAATATGCAAGACAAAGGGATCTCCCGAGGCACCGCCTTGTAGTCCCAAAGTAAATATGCAAGACAAGGGGATCTCCTGAGGTATTGCCTCGTAGTCCCAAAGTAAATATGCAACTCATAAATTATGGAACCATGAATTTACGGTAATGAATCCTACAATTAAAAACCGAATACAATAATCAAGGAAACAGGTAATTCAACTAAGCATGTTGCACGAATTTCAAGTAAGGTTAAGACACGTAGACATGCGATACTAGGCTAAACATGACAGCTACACATACTAAGGCAACTCAGTTAGGGAATTTAAAAGAAATCCACTCATAAAAAAAAACGGAATTTTCATAATTAGCCCATGTACGCACTCGTCACCTCGCGTACACGGTACTCACATATCACAAATTATTATAATAGTACTAAATCCTAAGGGGATTTCCCCCACACAAGGTTAGATAAGTCACTTACCTCAAAACTCGTTCAATCAATCGATAAGGATGCCTTTCCCTCGATTTTTTGACTCCGAATGACCCAAATCTAGCCAAAAGCAATTACATATCATGAATACAACTACAAGAAACTAATTTAAACTATAAATCTACGACTTTAGCAAAGAATCGAAAAACCGTCCCAAAAGGTCGACCCAAGCCCACGTCTCGGAATCAGGTAAAAGTCACAAAATACGAATACCCATTCGATATCGAGTTCACCCATACAAAAATTACCAAAATCCGACACCAAGTCGCCACTCAAATCCCCAAATTAAACTCTCCAAATCCCTAGCCTCAAACTCCCATATTTCACCTTAAACACACACAATCTAGGTGGAAATATCAATGGAAAAATAACATTATTGATAAAAATGAGTACAAGAGACTTACCTCAAGAAATCCCTCAAAAATGATCTAAAAAATCGCCAAGACCCGAGCTCAAAATGTTTTAAAATGAGCAAAATCACGAACCCGTGTATTTAAGTGTTCTGTCCAGCACTTCCGCTTGCGGAAACTTAACCGCATCTGCGGCGTCGCATAAGCGACAACTTATCCACTTTTGCGGTTACCCTCGTACCTGCGGTCTCCTCATCCGCTCCTCCGGATTCGCTTTTGCGGGCTCCCAGCCTCTTATGCTGTTCCAGCTTCCTCGCCGTTTCTGCGATCACTCTTCCGCAGAAGCGACTCCGCTTCTGCGGCCTTCACGTCATATCTGCGACCACCGGCCAATTCCCCCAGCCCCGCATCTTCGCTGAATTGCTCTCTTCTGCGGGCTCGCACCTGCGGTCAATCTTGCGCAGGTGCGATTACACCAGAACTAGTGCCTTCAGACATTCTTACAAGTCCAAATTTGATCCGTTAACCATCTAGAATCTACCCGAGGCCTTCGGAACCTCAACCAAACTTACCAACAAGTCCTAAAACATCATACAGACTTAGTCGAGCCTTTAGATCACATCAAACAATGCTAACAATACAAATTGCGCATCGATTCAAGCCTAATGAACTTTAAAACTTCAAACTTCTACATCCGACGCCAAAACCTATCAAATCAAGTCCGATTGATCTCAAATTTTGCATACAAGTCATAATTGACATTACGGACCTACTTCACCTTCGGAATCATAATCCGACCTCGATATCAAAAAGTCTACTCCCGGTCAAACTTCCCAAAAATCATCCAATTTTCCAACTTTCGCCAATTGACGCTAAAATGACATACAGACCTCCAATTCAACATCCGAACATGCTCCTAAGACCAAAATCACCCTACGGAGCTATTGGAACCATCGAAACTCTATTCCGGAATCGTCTTCACACAATTTAATTTATGGTCGATTCCTACGACTTAAACTTCCATTTTAGGGACTATGTCCGAAACCAAAAACAAATCCTCCCGGCAAGTTACATAACCACAAAATGAAATAAATAGAGCAGTAAATTGGGGTTCAGGTCTAGTACTCTCAAAACGACCGGCCGGGTCGTTACATCCTTCCCCTCGTAAAACAAACATTCGTCCTCGAATGAGTATAGAGACATACCTGAAGTGGTGAAAGGATGAGGATAACGGCTGCGCATATCATGCTCGGTCTCCTAAGTCGCCTCCTCCACCGGATGACCCCTCTACTGAACCTTCACAGACGTGATGTTCTTTGACCTCAACTTTTGAACCTGCCTGTCCAAAATGGCCACTGGCTCCTCAACAAAAGATAGATCCTTATTCAACTAGACTGAGCCGATATCTAACACATGAGATGGATTGTCGTGATACTTCCGGAGCATGGAAACATGGAACACTAAATGTACTATAGAGAGACTAGGTGGTAGTGCAAGTTTGTAAGTCACCTCTCCAACCCTCTCAAGAATCACAAAAGGCCAGATATACCTAGGGCTCAACTTGCCATATTTTTCGAACCTCATAACACCCTTCATGGGCGAAACCCGGAGCAAAACCTGCTCCCCAAACATGAATGCAGCGTCGCGAACCTTCCGATCCGCATAACTCTTCTGCCTGGACTGGGCTGTACGGAGTCGATCCTGAATCAATTTAACCTTTTCCAAAGCATCCTGAACCAAATATGTACCCAATATCCTAGCCTCGCGCGGGTCGAACCAACCCACTGGAGACCAGCACCGTCTACCATAGAAAGCCTCATATGGTGCCATATGAATGCTCGACTGATAATTTTTGTTGTAGGAAAACTCCGCAAGTGTCAAGAACTGATCCCAGGCACCCCCAAAGTCCATCACACACATAAGAAGCATATCCACCAATATCTGAATAGTGCGCTCGGATTGCCCGTCCGTCTAAGGGTGAAATATTGTACTTAACTCCACCCGAGTACCCAACTCTCGTTGCATGGCTCTCCAGAACCGTGATGTAAACTATGTACCCCGGTCAGAGATGATAGATACCGGCACGTCATGAAGCATGACAATCTCACGAATGTAAACCTGAGCCAGCTGCTTCGAAGAGTAAGTAGTAACCACATGAATGAAATGAGTTGACTTGGTCAATATATCCACAATCACCCAAACTGCATCGAACTTACTCTGAGTCCATGGGATCCCAACAACGAAATTTATAGTGATCCGCTCCTATTTCCATTCTGGAATCTCTAACTTCTGAAGCAATCCACCCGGTCGATGATGCTCATACTTCACCTGCTAACAATTAGGGCAACGAGCTACATATTCCACTATGTCCTTATTCATCCGCCTCCACCAATAATGCTGCCTCAAATCCTGATACATCTTCGCGGCACCTGGATGAATGGAGTACCGCGAACTGTGAGCCTCATGGATAATCAACTCACATAGCCCATCTACATTGGGCACACATAGCCTGCCCTGTATCCATAATACACCGTCATTTCCCATAGTAACTTCCTTGGCATCACTGTGCTGAACCGTGTCCTTCAGGACGAGCAAATATAGGTCATCATACTGACGGTCCCTCATACGATCATAAAGAGAAGACTGAAAAA